TTTTATATTATTATTAATTACATATAAAAAAATAATTAAAAGAAAAAAAAAATTGTTTTCAAATTATTACTGATTTGATTTTTAATATGTTAAAAATAATCAGTCTAAATTTTCAATTTTAACCTATTTTTATGGTTCTTTAAAGTTGATGAAAAATTGTTGACAAGTTTTGTGAAAGTTTATAGTAAAAAAAAATTGAATATGTTACCATAACTTTTAGCTCAATTACAAGTTTGAAATTGACATCATTAAATAGAAAATTTTATGAGAATTAAAACTATGCTATTTTTAAGACTAATATGCAGTTAGGAAATTTTATAATTACTATTTACTGTATATTTACCCCTAACCTAGCCATACCAAGTGAAAGGGTTACTAACTTGTCACAGGGAAGTTAGCCGAAAGATAAAGTGACCATTGGGATCCTCTATGGCATCTGGCGCACCATAGAGTATACAGCCTTATCACAGTATCGAGCTCTGCTGTGACGGACCTTTATTTCTCGACTTCTCGTGGGAACTATATGGATAAAAACATAGAAAAACCACAAAACAACGAACTTGTGACGATCAGGGATCCTACGGACAACCTGTCGGTACAAGATCGTGAACTGGCGACTCTTCGCAGAAGAATCGCCGAACTTGAAGGTCTCAATGCCAACAACGGGACACTTGGTGAACCGTCTACTAGCAAAGAGACAGCAACGTCAGCAAATGTAGACCAGGAATCGCAAGATCAACTGGAAGCAGTAGCTGACAAATACGAGGGTTTAAAACTTAGACCTGAGAAACTGAGCGGAAGTCAGAGGCGCAAGCTGAAGAGGAGCCGAGCAAACATGGAGCGGCAGAAGAACCTACCAAAGGAGGGAGACAAGGGAACCGATGACTTGAAAAAGTCAAAGGGAACCGAAGCTCAAAAACCTGAGGACAAGGGGCAAGAACCTCCATGTAAGAAAACTCATTGGGTACCGACCTACAGGGACGTGGTAACCGATGATAAAAAAGTGGCTCTGGTCCTCGCAGGCTACCCCACTAACAAGTTGACCACAGAGCAGGGGCTACTCATTGAGTCTTGTGTTGGAGACTTGATACTGTCGGGTACTGATGGAACCGACGTACCAAGGTTTGAAGACACCAGACTCACTGATGGAGCACTTGTGATCAGTGCAGCCCAAGAGAGCTCTNGCAGCCTAAGACAGCTCTCTTAAGTGGCTCACTGACCATGTCAACCTGATAAAACCTTGGGACGGTGCAGAACTCCATTTGGAAGCCTACAACCTAATCAAGTATAAACGGATGGTCACTCATATACCAGGGCTGCCAAAAGATTCCAAGAAGATCATGGAAATTTTGGCAAAACAAAACCCAGGGCTGAACACGGCGATCTGGAAAGTCCACCATGAGACAGAGGTTGGCCCGAAAGGACAAACTCTGTTCCTAAGTGTGGACGAAAACAGCATGGTCAAACTGGAGGAACTGAAGCGCAGTCCATATTTTGGAATGGGCAGAGTTTGCTTCACAGATTATGTTGCCAAGCAGCCACCAGCCCGGAAGGATGTGAAAAAATCCACACCTCAAAAATCTGGGAAGAGGAAGGCTGAGGAATCACCAGTGCCACTCGGGAAAGGAGGTAAGGCACAGGTAAGGAACAAATGGACACACATTACTCCTGCCTCGAAAGGGAAGGGAGNTTACTCCTGTCTCGAAAGGGAAGGGAGGAAGTGTGTTACGTAAGGGAAAGGGACCCAGGAAACCGCCACCCTCAATAACGGCCACATCTGAGGAGAACCTCTCTACGGATCCAAAAGGAAATGTGGAGAGCGAACCAAAGGCACGGTCGCCACCTGAGGACGGCGGTGGGACACCACCCACAGGGAGGACTGTGTGACACAGGGACTGTTTCAGACACCTGTATCACACCCAGTACAGCATGCTTTCTTAAGCGTCAACATCAGTTTTTCTGAATGGCTGACAATAGAATTTAATTCACGCAAATAAACCTNGCTGACAATAGAATTCAATTCACGCAAATAAACCTGCATCACAGTAAAGGGGCCAGTAGTGTATTACTAAGGACCCTAACTGAGAGGCATACAACACCCTTACAAATAGCACTTATTCAGGAACCATGGATAAATGGGGACCAGATTAAGGGGCTAAATCTAAGGGATTTTAAACTGTATCATAAACAAGCAGATAAACCAAGAACTTGCATTTTGGTTAATAATAAAGTTAAAGCCAGCCTGATACTTAATCTATCAAGTGCAGACTTGACTATTATTAGAGTAACACTAAATGATGGTAAAAATATTATAGTAGCTTCAGGATACTTACCATATGAGGTCACAGACCCAGGTAGGGACCTAACTATGCTCTTTAATTATTGCAAAAATGAAAAATTAGAACTAATCCTAGGTATGGATGCTAATGCACACCACACTATTTGGGGGAGCAGTAACATCAACCAAAGAGGAGAGGTTATAATGGATCTATTGCTGACTACAGACCTAAGTATACTGAACAGAGGTAGTGAACCTACTTTTGTTATCAGGAACAGGCAGGAAGTCATTGATCTAACAGTTTGTTCAAAAGGGTTACTTCAAAAGATAAAAGGGTGGAAAGTGTCCTCCGAACCTTCTCTTTCTGATCATAGGCACTTACGATTCACTTTGGAAATTAACAAAGTTGAGACGGAGTACTATAGGAACCCGAAAAGAACAAACTGGGACAAATACAGGGCAGATCTCTCTCGTGACCTGATTAACCTACAGTTTAGATTGGGGTCGAGACAGAGTACTGAAAGGGCTGTAAATATGCTACAGGACTCCATTGTCTCAGCTTACAAAGAAAACTGTCCTTTAATAGAAAGGAAAGGTACAGGGCAGGGTGTAGCTTGGTGGAATGCTAACCTGTCTAAATTAAGAAAGAGTTCACGTAAGCTCTTAAATAAAGCAATGAAATCAGGTTTGGAACAACACTGGGAATCCTATAAGGACGCCCAAAGGAACTACAAATCTGCATTGAAAAAGTCCAACAGAGAAAGCTGGAAGAAGTTCTGTGGGAATATACAACAATGGACCAAACAAAACTGTCGAGGCAATACTACTGCCAGACGGAATGTTCACCAATCATGATAATGAAACATTATCACATTTGATGAATACACATTTTCCTGACTCTACAATTAACAACAGAGAACAGGAACATGACGCACAGGACAAACGAGTGACCTGTGCTGATTGGAGACTAACCAGGAGAGTGATAACCCCAAGTGGAATAAGATGGGCAATAAAAGCCTTTGGCAGTTTTAAAGCTGCAGGCTGTGACGAAATTTTCCCTGCACTTCTGCAAGAAGGGTTAGAGATAATCGTCCCCCATCTCTGCAAAATATTTAGGGCATGCCTTGCCTATGGTTATCAACCAGAAAGCTGGCGTAAGGTTAGGGTAGTGTTTATACCCAAACCTAACCGCACTAACTATTATGAAGCAAAATCCTACAGACCAATAAGTCTTACTTCTTTTCTTCTTAAGACTATGGAGAAACTTATTGATAGGTACATCAAGGAGGGGCCTCTTAAGGAGAACCCTTTACATGAAAACCAACATGCGTATCAAACGGGGAAATCTACTGATACAGCTCTACACTGCTTAACTATTAAGATAGGGAAAGCTGTAGAGAATAAAATGTATGCAGTAGGTATATTCCTGGACATCGAAGAGGCTTTTGACAATACTCCCTTCGATGCTATGTGTGAATCTGCACAACAGCATGGAATAGAACCACTTATTATTAAGTGGATAGAATCCATGCTTAAGGAACGCTCCATTTTGGGACAGCTCAATGAGACCAAAGTAATCAAGAGTGTTAAACAGGGATGCCCACAAGGCGGGGTTCTATTCCCCTTGCTATAGTATCTAGTATTGGACTCGCTTATTAGAGAGTTAAACAAATATTGTTATACACAAGCCTATGCGGATGACTTGGTTATAACAGTGGTGGGTAAATTCCCAGACACTATTATTGACTTAGCACAACAGAGACTTAACACTATACAGATATGGTGTAATAAGTACGGTCTATCTGTTAATCCAAATAAAGCAGAGGTTGTTATGTTCACTAGAGAGAGAATAGGACTAGACAGCCTGGACACTCTTACTCTGAATGGACAAGAAATTAGCTTAAAATCAGAAGTAAAATAAAACCTAGACAATCTATAATGTTTATCAAGACCCCTAGTTTATTGCTGTGTGATCTTAATAGCATGAATAGACATCAAATAAGCACCCTGCCAGGTCTACTGACAGGACATGGTCACCTGCTTAAGCATCTTAACGCAATGGGGGCATCGGAATCACCATTGTGCAGGAAGTGTGGAGTAGAAGAGGAAGACTCATTTCACATCATGTGCGAATGTGAAGCCTTGTCCACACTAAGATCAAACTACTTGAATAAACCATTTCCTGAAAAAGAGGATATTAAAAACCTAAAACCCAGAGAGATAATTAATTTTGCCAGAAAGACAGGACTCTTTGGTCATCTTTAGAGGTGACTTTATGGTTGGTAATGTATTAACACTTTGGTGATAACACTTAGGTGGGTAAACCGAATCAAGACAATTCGGTATGAGGTGCGCACAATGGACCAACAGGTCTGAGTGCAAGGGCATTATGTCCACCTCAATAATAACTAAAACTAAAAACTAAATGCATCATAAATATTATATAAAAAAACTCTAAAGTTTAATACAATTTGGAAAATTAAAGGAACATTTGGTTTAATATTAAACAAACTAAACTTTTCTATATAATCTATATTATTAACCATTATTAAAACTCTATCCCATATTTCAATTTGAAACAAACAAAATCTGTCTACAAATGTTAAACCAACGCTTTCGATTACATTTAGATAGTGAGTATAACATTGTATAATATTAGTATTGTTTTTAATACACGGTCGAATGATATCTCCTAATTGTTTACCAACTGTACCGTTAATAGATACAGGAACATCTATTTCATTTTTTCGCGTCCATGTCCAAGGTTTTTTACATTCCCTTGGGTTGAATAATTCAGACGACACAACATCGGGATCGTCTAATATAATATTTTCGTTGTAAGGCATAGGACAACGAGCTATATCTTTGCCAGTGTAATATTCTTGTTTTTGTAATTTCAATNTTTACCTGTGTAATATTCTTGTTTTTGTAATTTCAACTGTATAAATGCAGGATATTCTCTGATGAGTATATTCAAATCGTTAATAGTTATAGATGTTTGATTTTCAATATTCTGTTTAAATTCATCATTTGTATAAACAATTATAACATTTGAAATGATTATTTCTAGTAAAATAATATGTATTTTGCTATAATAGTTCATTTTTACCTGTTACAGTAAAATTATTCAGACACTAGTTAACCAATTAGAAATTATAAAATAAAATAAAAACAGAAAATGGATCAAATAAAAAATTAAATTAATCAATTTTTGTAAGGTTTTTGATGAGATTCGTTTACTTCACTTTTTAAAACTAATAAATTTTTTTTGAAAATTAAAAATTTATAATTCTTAATTATTCAATTATTTGTTTAACAATAATGTTCAATTTTGAGATATATTTAAGTCGTAATTGTTTTATAATAAACCTTATGAAATAGTGTAAATGCTAGTTTACGCACTATTTATATATATATTTATGTAGTCAAAGAAAACAATTTTTTTGATAAATTATCATATTAAAAGATTTTTAAAACGTAATTGATATGCAATAAGTTTGTGATAACGTGAAGGTTTAAATACTTTTGTTTATACTGGACTAAACTATATCTTATGGTTCGTATTTTTTTAAGCTTCGTTAAAAAATGACTGATTCAATATAATTTTTTTTTATAAATGCAATATGTTTTTACCTATCATTTGATATATTTTTTTTATATATCTGATCCTTAGCAAGGTATCATCGGGTATTAATATTTCAAAAGGTTATGGGGTTTGATATGATTAATTTATCGTTATATGACTCAATGATGGAATATTTTTGATCCTATGAGAAACCCTGCCACGATGGCGTTATTACGACCTCAGATTCGGAATCAGAAACCTCAAAAACATATAGTAAATATAGTCAGACTCCCGAAACCAAAAGTTGATTTTTTTTGTGTGGTTATGTTATTTCATATTTTATAAACTAATTAAATATGTAATATGTTACCATTTAAAAAAAATAATAATAAACATAAAATACAGTTTATCCAAATATAAATTTAAGTCTTAGAACCGTCATAATATCATAAACTTATTTTATATTAATTATGTTTTAAAAATCTGTTAATATAAAGTATAAAAATTTATCAAAACAATTATTTTTTAACCACGTTAAAATCTATAAATTGTTGGTTAACCAGCATATATTACGATTTCATAAAGTTAAATATAAAGTAATTACGATTTAAATATATCCCAAAAATTCAACATTATAGTTAAACAAATAATTGATCACTTGCAAGGTATGAATTTTATTATATTCAAGAAAAATATACTAATTTTAAAAAGTGAACTAATATCTTCAAAAAGTTACAAAAATTGAATATTTTAATTTTTCTTTGAACCATTTTCTGTTTTTATTCTATTTTAAAATTTCTAATTGGTTAACTAGTGTCTGAATAATTTTACTGTAACAGGTAAAAATGAACTATTATAGCAAAATACATATTATTTTACTAGAAATAATCATTTCAAATGTAATAATTGTTTATACAAATAATGAATTTAAACAGAATATTGAAAATCAAACATCTATAACTATTAACGATTTGAATATACTCATCAGAGAATATCCTGCATTTATACAGTTGAAATTACAAAAACAAGAATATTACACAGGTAAAGATATAGCTCGTTGTCCTATGCCTTACAATAAAAATACTATATTAGACGATCCCGATGTTGTGTCGACTGAATTATTCAATCCAAGGAAATGTAAAAAACCTTGGACATGGACGCAAAAAAATGAAATAGATGTTCCTATATCTATTAACGGTACAGTTGGTCNGACATGGACGCAAAAAAATGAAATAGATGTTCCTGTATCTATTAACGGTACAGTTGGTCAAAAATTAGGAGATATCATTAAACCGTGTCTTAAAAACAATACTAATATTATACAATGTTATACTCACTATCTAAATGTAATCGAAAGCGTTGGTTTAACATTTGTAGACAGATTTTGTTTGTTTCAAATTGAAATATGGGATAGAGTTTTAATAATGGTTAATAATATAGATTATATAGAAAAGTTTAGTTTGTTTAATATTAAACCAAATGTTCCTTTAATTTTCCAAATTGTATTAAACTTTAGAGTTCTTTTAGATAATATTTATGATGCATTTAAACAGTATAATATTTCTACTCTACCTCTTGACTGTGTGTCTGAAGTCACAGAAAAAATGTTTAATGATAATTGTAATGCACGCTACAAAACACAAAGAAATCAATTCTTAAATTGTCGAGAATTAATGGAATCAAAACTAAATTATGCTGTATTAGAGAATGATCAGTACTGGGATTGGGATATTACTTCTGATTACAAACCTGAAGACACTGTATTAATGACCACGCAATACAAAGATATAGAACGAGGATTAAATCTATTCCCGTACAAGGATCTAACACAATATTAAATTTTTTTTTATTTCTGTGTAAACACTGAAAAACTTTAAATATAGTTTATTTTTTTAGATGTTAAATTTAAAAATATTACGTCAGGGACGATTGCAGCAATAAAAATTGTTCATTAAATATAATAAAATTTAGATTAATCTAATTTTACTAGTTAATATCATTGTGAAATATTTCAAAATCGTATATATTTATTTTATTTTTATTTCAATATCTTTTAATTAATTAAAAATATAATTGGAATAAATTATTTACATAAAAATAAATACATTTTTTAGCTTCGATGCGAAGCTGAGAAGGTATTAATTTTGCCATGATGTGTCATTGGACCAATTTCTTTCAACAATGCGTCAAAAAATCAAAAATCGTATCTAGTTGAAGTCATTACCCTTATCAATTGAAAATATTTCCCTTGTTTTCCGCAAATAGGGGAAATCTCCAAAAAAATTACAATTTTTAAAATCGCTTAATTTTGTCATTTTTTAATTTTTTTTCTTAAAACTTCCAAAACTTTTTAAAAAATCAATAAAGCAACATAATTTTTATTTATATTAAAACCTTAGATATTTTCCTTTCATTTGATATCATTAAGAATTATTTTTATTTTTTTGTCATAAATGTTGTTTTTTTTACAAACAAATGAGTACCCCACTCATTATGGCGTCTTTGCACAACTTATAATGAATATTGCCTTTGCTCTTCGTCATTTATTTGACAGTTATTAAAACTTGTCATTAAGGCGACTTCGCGTTCTGCTGAGTCATTTATTACAAATAAGGATTCAAATTTTTTTTTAGCCTGATTTTGAACCCAAGTGTTTGGTTGATCGTTTAAAAATTCTTGGTTTATGCCAAGCGTAGAAAATAATTTTGTATCTATTTTAAATTGATGTACTCCTTCATTTTCTTTTACTGTTTGAATTTCTATTCTTTTTTTTTAATTTATTTCTCCTTTTTTAATTAATGCTTGAACAATTTTTTTTTTTGTTTTCTATTGATATGTCTTCATCAAAAAATAACAGTCCTGCAAGTATATAATTTAGATACCATAAATGTCCAGAAAAGAATTTTATAGCAACTTCACTTATAGATTTATTTATATAACTGTAATTTTTCAACTTTTTTATTAAATTTAAATAATTATTTTAAGCTTTTGTTGTATAAGAGCTCTCAAACCAATACTTAACATAAACTTTTAAAACAAATACATTAAACAGCTGAATATTATTTAATTCTGAAGATGTCAGTTTAAATTAAAAACGGAACATATAAATTTTAAAACAATATATTATTTTAGCCATCCATTTCGCTCTGTGAAGTGCTCCTGGAGGATGGATTTAAATTTTTTCATTCTCTTTTTCGATGAATAGCAAACATAGTTTCAAAAATTCTTTGTAGTCAACCCGAGGATTGAAATGAAAGTTTATGTCATGTACTATAAAATGAAAAAAAAATTTGTCCCGACACTTTATATTCTGAATGCAAATAGCTGCCGTAGTTCAAAAAATGGTATTTTTCTGTTAAAATTTTCAACTTTAGAATGCTATAACTTTTCGAAAAATGTATGTATCAGCACAATTTTTTTTGTCTAAATACATTATAAGTGCATCTTTCATTGGACATACTTTTTATTAAAATTGGACAATTTCCCCTTATATTGGGGTCGTTTAAAACTTGAAACATTGTATAAAAATAAAACTATTTCAACTTAACTTTTCAAAATGTACGGAAATACTGCGTTCTTTTAACATATATCAAATCAAAGATTATGTCATGTACTATAAAATGAAAAAAAAAAAAATTTTCCCGACACCTTATCGTCTATGGGTAAATTGCCACCGAAATTAAACAAAAAAAGTAATATTTGCAAAAAATATCAGCTCCTATGGTGATGTTTTCTGTATTTTAAAATATCTTACAAGGGGAATATTTCATGAATATATAATTTAATTAATATACGGGGTGATCAAAATCTGGTAAGACACTCATTTTCTCAGAAACTATTGAGAATTTTAAATTTTTGTAAAGAGAAAAATTATTAAGCTTATAAAGCTCTATATTATTATGAAGTTCAATAAATTTTTTTTTTGTCTCTTCAGGGATAAAAATCTTTATTTATAGTTTGTTTAAATGGAAACCACTATTTTTGATTTAATAATATGATAGAAAAAAAATTACAAACAATTTTGGTCTTACAATTTTTTTTTATCCGAACAACCGTTTACGTTTTATAAAATTTTGACTTCAAGAATAAATATTGTCATACATTACGTTTCATAAAATCAGTGGCAGTGCAGCCGGTATTTTTGATTCCACCGTGGTAACAATAATAGGTTATGATAGCTCACAAATTATTTTTTATGGTAGTAATTAAGAAAAATTTCCAGGCCAGTTTATCGTCAATGTATATTATTAACTATCGTTTAGTATAAGAGTAGTTCATTTAATAAACATTCATTTTGAAAGATATGAAACGATGAGTGCAATAAAATTATACATGTTCTATCTGTTTAATCGTAAACACAGCTTGTATTTATAATCAAAATATGTATATGGAAATTCTGTCTAAATATCAAAATACCTTTGTAACATGGTCAGTCGTTGTGCTATTCAAAATCACATAATTATTAAGTGATTTTGAATATCATTTTATGATATGTTTATCAAATAGACAATATACATTTTATAACAAGATTAAATGCTCTAAAAGTTATTAAATCAAAAATTTATCTTTAGAAAAATAAAATATAATTTTTATTCAATATTATTATTAATAGTATTTTACCATTAATGAAAAATAACATTAATTTAGGAAAATTTGAAATCATGGTTTTTAAAACAATTGCAAATTTAAATAAGAAAATATTAAAGAATCTAAAAAAGAAAAAACGAGCAAAATTGTTTTTCTACCACCAACATAAATCAGGAGGGAAAGAAAGTGTGCCCCCCCTGAATTATGTTGGTGGTAGCGTGGACACTAGTTGGACATTGAGTGATGGTACGATATCTGGCCGCGCCGGTGTTACGAAACACGCTCTCGAAGAAAAGTGCCCCATCTCACCTATCCCGAAAAACGCGTTACCGCTGCGACGAGATTCGAACCACCTACCAGAATACATATAAATCGGTATTTTACCGAATGCCTCTAGTGCCCATGGTGACGTCATGAAGCAAAAATGTACTTATTTAAATGACACAGATTGAAGAGTTTATACATGACTTATTATCATAACATTATAATAGATGCATTCCTTGTCTGGTCAAAGATTTTTTAAATTTTTCAGCGGATTTAAAATATTTTTCATTTTAATAATACCTTGGTTAATTCAATCTTAGTACCAATGGTCAATTTGTTTATACAATTTAATCAAATTATATAAACTCGTTAATGTTTTATTTAAATATTTACTGAGTTGTTTATTATTCTGTAATGATAATCATAAAACCGTTCATGTTAGATGTACATTAATTGTTTTAAATTATAAATATAAAATGATGTCTATTTAATAAAAGCATAATTTTTTATTTATTAATTGCCACCGCCATAACAACAAAAATCTGTTTCGAAAGCACATAAATTGCAATAATAAGTTTAGTGATATGATATCAATTTACTAATGATTTTTTATTATCAAAACAAATTTTTTTCCTATCATATTAACAGATTAAAAATATGGGTTACCATTTATAAAAATTATAATTTTTAACTTTAATTTTTTTAAGTTTAGGTTAAAAATCCTGAATAGATAAAAAAAAAGTATTAACCACATATTACTGCTTTTTTTTTCCTTTACAATAACATAATTTTTTCAATAGTATCTAAGAAAATGAGTTTCTTACACATAATTGATCATCCTATATTAAATTAATAGCTAAAATGAAAATTTGCTTACATAATAATCATAATTTCTTAAATTAGATAAAATGTTGTGTCCATGATAGAAAATTAGGGTATGACAAACATACTATTCCTCCCAAATTTATTGTGGAATACAAGAAATTGGCTAATATTGATTCCACATTTGAAGAAATGGTTATGGAATTAGGTATGAGCCAAACCAATGTAAATGTGCCAAAAACCCATTGACAAAGAAGTATTTTTTGTCTGAGTCTTCAAATGAGCAGTCTGCATTTTAAATAAAATAAATATATATATTTAATTAAATATACAATTGACAAATTTACAATTGTATATATATAATACAA